CCATCACAAGTGAGGGAGCCTGAAGAGGTCGAGATGGGTGAGAGTGAGGATAATAGCGAGGCTTGATGGGGAGGGTAGTGTTGAGTGTGGATACCAGGGAACTCCAATCCGTGAGATGAATATCAAGCAAACATACAACACCATAAAGACGCGTGATATGGCGATGGGAGATAGAAGAGACGCGTCGAGTGGCGGTGGAGCACATGTCCTTGGTGCCAAGCTGAAGCTGATCTGCATGGGTTGCACGAAGCGAGGAGGGGGCTGGTAAGGCAGAGTGTGGACTGACAAGAACAGACAGACAGACAGACAGATGAGATGGATGGACGAATACCCCTCGCTGGTGAAAGGGGTATAGAGAAGTTTATTGTGTCACTTGCATTAAGTGTGTCTCTTACGCCAACGAGCCATTCTTTTTGGATATGTTATATACAGTTGGCTATTTGGACGGAGTTTGGGCATAGACGTCTATAGATACAACACCATTACAACGAGATGGCAGATATTGTTCATTGAAATAAAAGTAGAGAAGATGTCTAAGAAAATACAGAGGCTCTAGGGTATTGAGTATAAGTTGAGTGGTGGCACGATGATGAGGCAGTGTGTACCTGGCATCATGAGGTCCACCACGGGAAGCAAAGTACACTACGGAGAGGCACAAGAGACATTGTCGCACTGAACACAGGGGCTTGCGGAGGGGTAGGGGTTACAGAAGAGGCAAGTGGAGCGGGATACAAGCGTGGACGTGGTCGCGTTGATCAAAGAAGGCGTTTTAGCCGTCAAAGCTTGGCGAGAGACTAGGACCAGGATAGAGAATGAAAGGCCAAAAGTTGAGTGAAACATGAAACAAGAAACGGCAAGACACGCGGGAAAATGCAGCACGTCCACGATAGTCTGCAGCAGATACAACCTACGTACGCAGTAGCCTCTCCATGTTCTAGAGCCACTCATTTCTTCCCCAGGTCAAAGAACTTCGCGATTGTTAGTGGGCGCGATGTCTATTGGCTGACGGCGCGTGGGATCCTGGCGCGTCGATAACAGCGAATGAGAGACAAGAGCCAGGTCGCGACATTCAAGCTCGACTCTCCAAGAGAACAGGTTGAGGCTGTGTAAGTCGAGATGGGGAAGAGAGATGAAGAATCTGGTGGACCGAGAGCAAATTTCCGTAGCCGCGGAGAATGGTGCGACGATGGGCTTTTTAATATTAACAAAGTCAGACACTCACTCACTCAATTTGGCCGTGGGTGTATTAAGCGCCCGTTAGGTAGAGACAGTAATAAATTAAACGCCCGGCGGTTAACGGCAGCGGACAAGGCAAGGGCCAAGGCCACTGAAACCACGTAAGAGGATCTGCTTCTATTCTGAGACTTGAAAGATTGAGGCTCATACTCATGCGTATACATACTCTTCTAAACGCCATGTATGAGCCGAGCTGGGCTGTTTTTATGGCGCTACTCTACGGGAATGTTTTAGATTTGGACTCCGGGGGGCATAGCGATGACCCTGAAAATGGGACGAACGGTTGTCCCTCGCAACGAGAAATCTGGTGTAAAACGCGGTAGTAAATAGAAGTAGGTATAAAACACGCTCTGGAGAAGAAGATCGCGACTTATTGAGAGTCGCGTTCTGGTGTTGAACCACGAGAACAGGGAGCTAGATATGCCGAGTCAAGGATCTAAAAATGAGTCACAAGCGCTGGGCCATTCAGCGGTCGGGCTCGTGCATTGACAGACCCAAGCCGAGAACCATGATCCTTGGCGATGATCATGACGCCTGGGGTGGTGTTACACAGTGTCTCGCGGCTCTCGCACTTACATCCTCTCCTCTCAACAGGAAGCGCTTACAGTGCCAATACGCATCCGCCAATCATGGCCTCTACAACTTACACCTTGAGATCGAAGCGCGTCCGCGATAATTCTCTGCAGAGAGAGAGAGAGAGAGACGACGGGACGTGTTTCAGATTCTTCTCTTTCTCGTGTTCCCAATGAGACGCACAAGTGAAAAGAAAAAATGTTTCTTGTTTCGTGGAGAGTCAAGGGGATCGGATGGGTCCTATGCCGGAGCCCACAGCCGTCAGCCGCCCATCGCCAACCATTGCCCTCCTCTGCTTCATCGACAGCATAAGAAGACGGCCTCGCCCTGGGTCTCTGGTCCTCTTTCTTCTATTTCTATCCAGCATCATTCATCGTCGGCCTGTCTTTTACCAATCATCTCTAATCATACTCACTCTGCTCTTTCCACCTGTTTACACCTCTATCTATTGCGATCCGGTATCACCATCACCATCATCAGATCAAAAAAGCTTCACAGCAAACTTGCAAGTCTCGCTGGTTCTGAGACTGCCTTCTAACGAACTCCCAAAACTTCCGGTTTCATCTTGACCTTTTTTTCACGGAGCTGGTCTCCTGATCCTTGTTCATACACTTATAGACTCTCACTAATACTTCCGACATCATGTCCACGTAAGATATTCTCACCAACCACCAAACACCATCCACCATACATAATGCTAACACACTCTCAAGAAGTCTGGCTGTCGAAATGCCCTTCGACTTCAGCTTCCCCTCAGCCTCTATTGAGCGCACAAGTCCTCCTCCCATGTCAACTCTGCCCTTTGACCAAGCTTTTCTCGACATGGCCTATGCTTCAGCTTCTGCTACTGCTGCTGGTCATATCTCTGGCCACTCTCGCTCATCATCAAAGGCTTCAGTCTACTCTACCATCTCAGCCGAGTCAGACCATGAATCTCTCTGCTCTCGTCTCACAACGCCTCCTCGTGCTTCACCAGCTGTTCGTCAGCATGGCCCTCTTCTCCTACCAAAAATTCGCTCTCAAGACCAAGATATTGATGCCACTCCTTGTCATTATCGCATGACTACTCCTCCTGCTCCTAACCCTTCTCGTCACTCACGGAGCTACACCAACCCTGAGTCTCTTGCCATCACCTTTGACACCCCTGGCTCAGTCAACACAAGCTTCTCTAGCCAGCCTGACGACACTCTGTCTGCATCACTTCTTACTTCTCCGGCCAACTTTGCCACTCACATCTCTGCCTCTCACTCACGCCGTGCTTCCAGCCTCGATGCCACCACAATCGATCGTTATGGCTATCCTACCTATCGTCAGATGCCCTCGTTCGTTCCCGTCCCTCAGCAACAATCTGACTATGGCTTCTACGACTACAGCCCTCGTGCTCAGTCCCCTCTGAGCCTCACTGCCACTCCGGACCCTACTCCCAATACCAACCTTCTGAGCTTCCTCACCTCTTCCAACCCAGCTGCTTCTCTGGTCCGCCACATCTCGTTCCCGGTGCGAGATGCTGCCACTAAGCACTTTTGGTGGGATGTTCGCAACATTCGCTCTTGGTCCTCTTTCAACGCATCTGCCATTCTTTCTCTCCCCGGTGCCTCTCTTCTTCTCACCAACCCTGTTCCCGCTCCTCTGCTCCCTCAGCCTACTTTCGCATCTCGTCACCCCGAGACTGAGACTCAGCTTCACTCCATCTACGCTTCGTACTATCTCCCCAAGCTGAACTCAGCTTTGGCCATGTCGTCAACTCGCCCTCTTCACCTCTCAGTGCCTCCCAAGACTGCTGGCATGAACGATCTCCTCTTCGTCGCCAACGCTGCCGGGGAGTCTGCTACTGCTGCTGCCATGTTTGGTGGCAAGCCCACTGCCCGAGTTGTTGGTATTGTCCGCAGCTTCGACCGCTTCAACACTGGCATGCGAGTTGAGGGTAACATCAAGCGTGTTGAGTATCTCCGTGGCCTCTCAGCTATCCACCACGCCATGCGCGAGCACGGGTGCCGCTATGGTTTCGTCCTCACCGAGATTGAGCTCGTCCTCGTCCGCAACGGCACTGCCAACACTCCCTTCTTTGGCGATCTTGAGGTCACATCAGTCCAGCTCGCTGCCTCTGCCCCTGAAGGTGATGTCTCAACCCTCCCCCACGAGACTCCCCTCACTGCATGCCTCGCCCTCTGGGGTCTCTGCCAACTCGCTGCCGACGACACACCTGCCGGCCATTCCCACTGGCGTGCTGAGATCGGTGCACCCGCTGAGGGAACTCGTCGCAAGGCCCAACCCCGTGACTCTTGGATTCCGCAACCTCAGCTGGCTGAGAAGCGTGAGGCCAAGCGAAGTCGTGGATGGGTTTGGCCAGAGGATGCCATTGGCCGCAAGGAGCTTGGAAAGCGAGGTGTTCGATATGGAGTAGTCTAAGGGCCTGGTGCCTTTAGCAGGATGATGATGAGATGATGGATGATTGGAAAGAAAAGACATGATAATGAATGAACATGCGAATTTTGTAATCAATTTAGTATTTAATTAAAACACTTCAAAATCATATTGACTGCATCATGGTGACATCAGCTACTGAATGAGTCCGAGCCAAAACGTCCAGCGTCTTTATAAGAACAAGCAAGCAACTTGGACAAGGGTTTAAAGAGAGGCCTTATTCTATTTACGTACAAGCCTGTCTAGTTAAGCGTGTTTGTGCAACGGCCGTATCACCACCATACCACCTCGACATTCCACAGTGCCTAGCAATACACTTCAAAATAAACACCATGTGTATCTCTTATGCAACTGAAATGAAAAAGACACGTCTTGGCTTAGCCACATTTGACATTCGGGGGCATGGTTGCCCAAAAGAAGGCGTGATACTTTTGTCTCCACGCCCGACCCATGTACATAAACCGAATTACAAAACCAGCATTCACAAAAAAAAGCCGTCATCGTATAGGGGTCAGTACATCAGTTTGTGGCTCATTCGAAGCACTGAAAACGCAAGTTCGAGTCTTGCTGACGGCAAAATAATTATATTTTGTCTTTTTTTTGTGAATCATTCTTCTTTTTGGTTTGCCTTGTTATTTGTGCAAGGTTTCTGCCCCTCTTAACCCCACTATCGTGGAAGATGAGAGAATCGATGATCAAGGTGGAGTGGTGGGATGCTGTCGAGAAGAATGAGGCATTCCGTACTGAAGTGCAGAGAAGTTGGCAATATAATGCAGTTTGCTTGCTGTGTTACATCGCTGGATCTTATACTCTAGATAGTCTGACTACTCTACTGTAACAGATCATGTCCAACTTGGTTAATTGTCTACTGAATGGTCTCAAGAATATCTCTATACAAGGCAATTAGCGATGTTGTATGAAGTTCAACAAAACCAAGGTGTTGGCACTGATACTGCAAATGTCTCATCAAATCCCAGGTTAACTCCAAAACGTACAGCCATTATAAGAATATGTCACAACAGCACGACAAGAAGCTGCACATACAAGATCATGGCAGGAGGGATATCACATAATCTGAAAATCATCCTCAGCGTCTGGGAACAGTCATCACACATAGAAATTCATGGGACACAAAGTTCATCTTCATCACATCGTTGCATTTAACTTTTTTCTATGGACTTAAATACGCCTGGTGATATCCAGAGCTTAGCTCTTGGCGGCACCAGCCTTGATGTGCAGGATATCGCCGTCCTCGACGACGTATTCCTTACCCTTGGTCATGATCTTGCCCTTAGCCTTGACCTCGGACTCGTCACCGAGCTCTTTTAGGGTGTTGTAGTTGAAGACGAGAGCCTGGATGAAGGTCTTCTCGAAATCGGTGTGGATGACACCGGCAGCCTGAGGCGCCTTGGTGCCAGTTCGGATGGTCCACTGTCGAACCTCATCAGGCCCGACGGTGAAGAAGCTGCCAAGCTGAAGGGTCTTGCGCATCTGAAGAATGACCTTGGGCAGAACAGAGTCGGCACCAACGTTCTTCTGCTCCTCCTTGGCCTCAGCCTCGGTCTCGAACTGAGTAAGACGAGACTCGTAAGAGACGGAGACGGGGATAAGAGGGTCGCCCTTGGCGTTCTCGTTGATCCACTCCACAATCTTGGGAAGATGCTTGTTCTTCTTGCGGATGAAGTCCTTCTCGGACAAGTTGACGAGGTAGACAACGGGCTTGGCAGTCAGGAGGAAGAGAGGGTTGATGACCTCGATCTGAATGAGAATGTCAGTGAGGGTTCTCATACGTTTCTTCGACATAAACAAGTGGAAAAGATTTGCTATCAGAGTAAAGTTTATCTCACAATGCCTCTAAGCGTTAATAGGTGAGGCATTCGACGAGCTGGGTTATAGATCAGGCCTTATGGCCTTTTGTCATCAGGAAAGCAGAATGTGTAGAGCAGAAGAAATAGAGAAAAAGTCTTACCTCCTTGGGGCCCCAGGTACCCTTGCGGACATCCTTGCCCTGGTTAAGCCAGTCCAAGATCTTCTCAATGGTTTCCTGTTCTTGCTTGGCCTTCTTCTGCTCCAGAGACTGGCCACCCATACGGGTCTTCTTCTTCTGGTTCTCGAGGGCTTTCTCAACGAACTCAATATCCTTGAGTCGCAGCTCCTCGCTGATGATGTCAAGATCACGGGTGGGGTTCACGTCACCCTCAATGTGGATAATCTCGGCATCATCGAAGCAACGAACAACCTGGAAGATGGCGTCGACGGCGCGAATGTGCGACAAGAAAGCGTTTCCAAGACCAGCACCGGTTGATGAGCCGCGGGTCAGACCGGCGATATCGTAAACGGTCAAGTTGGCGGGAACAACGGACTTGGGCTTGTACTTCTCGACGAGCCAGTCGAACCGGTCATCGGGAACGACGACGCGGGCTTCCTCAGGGTCGATGGTGGCATAGGGGAAGTTCTTGATGCTGTCAGCACCCCGATACTAAAGACGGCGGATGGCGAGGGGGCTTCATACAGCTGGGTTACCGAGGTTAGACTTGGTAATGGCCTGGAAGAGAGTAGATTTGCCGACGTTGGCCAAACCGACCTGGAATATGGTTAGCACGTGGCATACATCATCGATAGAATATTGTCACGCACAATACCACTCTTCAAGTTGTTTCCAGGCCTGCCCAGAGGGATCTTCTCCTCAACGACTTGCTTCTTAGGAGGCATCTTGCGTGACTTGGCGTAGTTACGACGTTGAACGAAGAAAGCTAGGCCGAAGTGTGTGGATGGAACGTGTCCAAGAGCTGCAGAGCTTGCTGCGCGGGGTGCAAGAGGAGGAAAAGAAGCGAAGAAGATGGAAGATTTGATGGACTTCGTGGTGAAGTATTCAGGTTGGCTAGTGCCAACCTCGGACGGCTTCGAGAGCGAGAGCGACGACGAAGAAAAGGGAAGAAAGGGAAGATGAAGAGAGAGAAAAAAGATTTCTCTTTTTATTTTGCGCGAGCCGAGCTTGGGGAGATGAGATGAGAATTTGTTCGTGACCCCACCTTGCTGGGGTTTAGAGAGGTTGGGCTGTGCCAAGACCTTCGGATAGTGGGAAAAGGTAGTTCCGGCTGGAATTTGAAGACGACGTCATTGGCTGACGAAAGCAGCTTGGCAGAAAGGCACCAAGCCGTGCGCAGAAGGACCCTGGATCCAGGATCCAGTGAACAGGCACAGTATGTCACAGAGCTTAGGCCCTGTGGTTTTAGGTGTCCGTCTTTGGAAATGCCTGACCTGAGTTACCTGAGGTTACCTAAGGTTAGTAGAGAGTAATACAGAGGCAGAGAGACCTAGGTTTTGGATTTCGCCGGGCTTGATCTGACAGGAACGACGGGAGCTCAGCCGGGCCGGCCTGTCCGATTCCTTCAGTTATTTCCTCTCCTTCACTTTTATTCATCAACCTTTCAAGCTAGAATATTCATCTTCTCTTTGTGCCCTGGGATTCTTTGTCTTGTCAACACGCCTACGGACGCCAACCTACAGCTATATAAGCCTTATTAGCCTACCATTTCCCCAGCTCAGCCCCGCTCACCCGTCAGCTGCAAACCCCAAAGCTTCAAGCCACTTGACGTCGCAATAGTTGCAGTGTCGGTATCAGCTTTTGCATGATGCCGCGTCCTAAGAAGAGCTCTTCGGTGAGCAGATCTCACCGCTCAACATTATCTTTATCCAAAACTGAGATCACTATACATGTCTATGATCTACTGCCGGTAAGTGAAGTCGCTCATACTCATCTCATTAGCTTTCATGAGCATGACGCTGATACGCGCGGCATGACAGCCCGGCCGATTATCGTCGGTATTATGGACAGTAGGCGCCTCACTACTTCACTCAGGTGTCGTGATCAATGGGAGGGAATACGCCTATGGCGGACATGATAAAAGAGGCCTTACAGGTGTATACTGGACAAAGCCCCGGACCGAACCGCCCGGAGGCACGTTTCGATGCGAGATCCTGCACGGATTCACTCTTGCGACAGAAGACGAGATTAATGCGACTCTGCAATCTGCCTCTGAAGAGTTTCTGGGCACTTCATACAATCTTCTCACCAAGAACTGCAATCATTTCACCTCTTATCTTTGCAAGAGGCTTACAGGACAGTCGGGTCCAGCATGGTTGAATCGTGCCGCCAGTATTGGAGTTGCGCTCCCTTGTGTCGTCCCTCGAGATTGGATTGAACCACCCGAATATGACACCAGCGAAGGTGCCCTGTTGGATGATTATGACAATTCGAATGAGAATTCTCATATGTTGAAAGCGACTCATCCCCATCTGCTAATGGAAAGCAACGATAGCAACGAAGATGACGAGTGGGATAGCGCAGAAGAAAGACGACGAGGCGGCAGCGGGAAGGGCAAGCAAGCCCTCCGCGATTCCGCCGGGCGCCGTTTACCACCAGCTGAAAGGGCCATCCGATGATAGAGTATAAATGAGGCTGCGGTGTTGAGTGGAGTTTTGGCGTTTCGAGGTACCGTTTCCATGGATTAGCACGATACCAATGACTTTACAGTCCAGGAACAGATCATTCGTTTGGGAACTTGCAAGCAAAGCAAGCTGTGTCTTGTTCATTTGTATAGTACAGGTCGTACAGAGTATAGTACATTCACTTTCTCAACCTCCGCGGCGAAGTGATATTCTCATGTGAACATATTCCCAAAAATGTGCCCAAATTCCAATCCTAATCCAAAATTCCAGACTTTTATAGACGTCTAGGCTTCTCACTCCTGGTACCACCAAACTTGATTCTAGTCGAGTCGGCCACACGGACAATCTTATCTCGTAAGACCTTACCCTCGGGGCTCATCAGAACCTTCAGAGCAGCCTCTCGTCCCTGACCGAAGCCTCGTAGCACAACCTCTAGTCGGTTCATCTTCATGGGCCAGCCGTTGTGGATTAATCGCTCCAGGACATACTTGGTGAGAGAGTAGGCGGAATCGAATAGACCACGACGAGACTTGCGAAAACCAATGTTGCCGGCTGACAGAGAGATAATTGGTTCTCGGTTGGGCTTGGTGCAAGTAATGTGGGTGTTGTGCTTGTGAGAGTAGATGTGGAAGTGGTATGGCTCGAGATCGTCCTCCTTTGCCTCGACCTGTCGACGGGTATCTCTGGATAGTGTGCTCGTATCGATGTTGGAAGACTTGTCAAGTGTCTGGAAGACAAGGCTTTGGGAGAGGTTGGCCATGGCATTGTTGGGGGAGGGTTTCGTCTTGGACGTCTCTGAGGGGCCGTAGATGTTCTCTAACAGCGAGGCCGTACTGGGTCGGCTGGGTGCCCTTCTGGGTTTATCATCGCGGTTGGACTTTGTCTGGGAGATGGAGCGAGCGATTTGAAATGACGACTTTGGGACGGTGGCTCGGGAGGTTAGAAAGAGCGATTGCGCCGCGAGGCGACTTGTCAATGAGCGACTCATTTTGTTCGCATTTGCCTGGTCCTGTCGTCAATTGGTGATCTGCCTCTGGCAATTTTTACTCGCGGCTGTAAACTTCCCCCACGGGCCGGGGCTGGACGGGGAACAATTCTACCGAGGCTTTGCCGTCTCGGTGTTTGTCTTCCTTGACTTTCCGCCCCCGGACCGAGATCGCAAACCAAAATTTCGTCCGGGAATTCCACCACCTTCCACCGTCCATCTCGGCATCTCTCCAAACCCACGCCCTGTCTTTTTTTCTGGAGGGATTTGTCTCCTTGTGTTGTCGCAATAATGAACTCCCTCGCAAGAAAGACGGCCTCCTCGGAGCTCGCCTTTTCGCGGGCTTCTGCTCATGTCTCATCCGCTGGCAGATCGCCCGCCTACCGAAGATTAGCATCCCAGCTCTCTCAGAATGCCTCTAACAACGGTGCGAGACAACAAAGCTCAATGCTTTCCGGCTCAGTTCGATCGCCATTGAGGTCTTCCTTTGTCCCTGCCGAGCTTCGTTGCTCCCCCACTTATACCGCTCAATCTCGTCTCTTCCACCTTTCCAGCCGCTTACACAAAGAGAAGCCTCAAACTGAACAAAAACCCTCAACTGCTGCACCTACCGACGCAAAAGAGAAGAAGCCTGCTGAAGCTGACGCCGAATCTGAGGCCAAGCCTGAGGAGGAGCAATCCAAGAAGACCGAGGATGGCGAGAGTGCTGGAAAGGAAGGAAAAGAAGAGGGCGAGGGTGAGGGCGAGGGCAAGGATAAAGAGAAGAAAAAGGAGGATGCCCCTCCCCCTCCTCCTCATGGCGACAAGACCCCCTGGCAGGTTTTCATGGAGACCATGAACACTGAGTTCCAGAAGTCGCAAGAATGGAACGAGTCGACCAAGCAGATCGCTGCGTCTGCTAATCAATTCGCCGAGAGTGAGGGTGTGCGACGTGCTCGTGAGGCATACGAGAAGTCCACTGGCGCTGTTTCCTCGACCCTTGGAAAGGGTGCCAAGGTTACTGCTGGTGCCATTGGCAAGGGTGCTTCTTGGACTTGGGATACCTCAGTCGTCAAGGGTGTTCGTAAGGCCGCTAATGTCACGGGAGATGCCGTGGACAAGGCTACCCAGCCTATCCGAAACACAGAGGCTTACAAGAATGTCAAGAATGTCATTGACGATGGCAGCTCTTCACGATACGGTGGCTGGGTTGAGAAGGAGGAGCGCAGGAAACGCCGAGAGGCACTCGACAAGCAGCGGGGTTACAAGGCGGCTGCACCTATGGAAGAGGACATTAAGTGAGTATCCTTACAATCTTTCTCATTTGAATATGGTCTAACAAGAGATAGCGCTGGTACCAGTGTTACCGTTCACAAGGACGCTGCTTGGAAGGAGGCTTGGAGAGATTTCCGCGACCAGAACAAGTATGTGCAAGGACTTTTCAGCTTGAGGGGCAAGTATGAGGAGTCTGAGAATCCTCTTGTATCGACCGCTCGAAGTATCACCGACCGCATCGGAGGCTTCTTCGCCGAGAACGAGACTGCCATGGTCATCAAGAAGTTCAGATCCATGGACCCCAATTTTCAGACAGAGCCTTTCCTCCAGGAGCTTCGAGAGTACATTCTTCCCGAGGTGTTGGACGCTTACGTCAAGGGCGATGCCGAGACACTGAAGCTCTGGCTTTCTGCCGCTCAGTACTCTGTGTACGAGGCCCTCACCAAGCAATACCTACAGGCTGGTATGAAATCGGACGGAAAGATTCTGGATATCCGAAATGTCGACATTCTACGAGCCCGCATGCTCGACCCCGGTGAGGTTCCTGTCTTCATCATCACGTGTCGCACACAGGAGGTTCACGTCTACCGCAATGCCAAGACGAACGAGCTCGCTGCCGGTATGGAGGACAAGGTCCAGCTGGTCACATACGCCATTGGTATCACACGGGTACCAGAAGATGTCAACAACCCTGAGACAAGGGGCTGGCGTCTCATCGAGATGCAGAAGAGTGGACGAGACTGGTACTAAAAGAAACAGTCATTTTAACGCGGCGTCAAGGGGTTGGGGATCTGCCTTTGTTGGATACCTACGAGATGAGAAGGAATCGAAGGCGAACACGGGAGCATCGCCTAATGTGTGTTAATTACTGTAAAATATGTGCTATCATGTGAAAATATCTGGGCAGGCTCTCGACACGAAAAAACAACACCAATACCACCACACCCACCACGACACAACACAACGTACAACTACCAAACAAAACAAGCATTTTCTGGAGAATGGGTTTGGGGCTGCTAAACAGCAAAAAATGACTACTACCACGCCGCTCTGCTTGCCTCGGGATGAGGCTCTTTTTATGTATGATTATAGAGGGGAATAGGGGCATTGGGCCGGGCATCATTGGTGGGAGGAAGATGGACTTATAGACATGTTCAAAAGTTGCCTTGGTTTTCAAGGTCGGTGCAATCTATCTGGGCGTATAGCCGAAACAGTTCAAACAACCATCATCTTGCCCCTCGACAAAGTGATACCCGCTTGCTCGGCTCAAACTTGTAGAGCAGTTCAGTCGTCTATACATCACCCAACTCATGCTTCGTGACCGCCTCGTCTCTCTTTCAAGATCCTTCTGACCTCCATCAACTCCTTACCAAGCAAATTCTCACCCCATAAATCTCTCGCAGCATCTGCATCCGCAGCTTTAAACCCAACGCCCCAAACCCGATCGAATGGACTGGCCTCGACAAGTTCTCTGTCACCCGTGCTGATCAATATATCTGCTAGAGAACCTTCGATGGGCCGGTGTAATGAATTTACTTGATTTGCGCCAGGCGTGCCTCTCTTGAAACCCTCCTCTGTGATAGCACGTGTGAACTTGAGGATGTTGCCCTTTCGAACTACGTCACGTCGATGCTTGAGCCATACTGTTTCGTCAAAGTTCTCCACCTGGCGGCCGAGAGACTTGACTTTCCGTGGATGGCCTGTCTTGAGGATCTCAAGAGCGGTGGCTTCGTCGTTGAACAGGATAGCTTTTTGATACATCATATAACTTGAAAGATGTCAACATCGACCTTGAATAGTGTACCAGTAGAAGTAACAGGACTTACTGCTCTGCTGTTTTGTATGTCTTTTTCTCATCCTGGTCATCCTTGAAAGGACAGTAATACCATTGTGAAAGGTATCCTGTTGCTGGGTCTGTTTCTCGCCAGAAATACACTGGACCGGGATTCGATGTCGTAGCCATTTTGACTGAGTAGCGATGAATAAAGATACGAGAGTTAGAAAGAATAGTTGACGGGATTCGGTGCATATTTATTGTTCGTTTGGGTTGAAAGTGCATGCTGTGACCGTGAATGAGGCTGTGGCTGAGTTTGGCAGTTGAGTCAGACGGGGAAGCCAAGGTTGGCTTTCTTGATGTGGCTTTTTCAAGGTCGACTCATACAAAAGTCATGCAGCACCTACCTAGGTATAGAGAGTTGAGAAACCTAAGTTGCTGTTCTCTTTGAGGCTGAAGTGCCACAGCAGTAACAGATGGGTAAGCTGCCTTACACGGGAGCACGTATCAAAGATGTGCACCACTCTCGTGCCCTCCATGTGACATCGGCAACAATTGAATAGAGCCAGCTTAAGCAAACAACTGCTTGATAGACCACTTAGTTTAGAGGCGTTTTGCTATGTGATTCGATATGGCTTTCGGTGTGAGTCATGCATGACTGGATGTAGACGGGGTTTAAGATTCATGGCAGAGAATGGCCAAGAGCGTGAATGGTCAGATATACAGCCTACGATTTGTGTGAGTATACAAATGCATACATCACAAGCAGATATACATTAGACATAGACCTATAACCACTGACTACAACACACTCTATAGCATGTATATCTCTTCTGGGCTCCACGTGACCAAGTCCGTTAACACATGAGCCATTGTGATGATCACTTGAGTTGGGTGGCCCAGAAGCCCACGTTATCCATGCAACTCAACACGAGCATAAAGCTCAGTAATATCCAAGAAGAGGCATTTGCCAAGATTCGCATAATTCAAAGCCACTCGTGATTAACAAACTGGCCGACATCACGGGAAGATGCTATAATGTCAACCAAGACCGGCACTAACATCCAACATCGGGGGCTTGGTGTAGGGGTATCACGTTCGCTTTGCATTGTTTCGAATGCTTGCGAAAGGCCGGGGGTTCAAATCCCTCAGCCTCCATTTTTGTCTTGAGCATGTTGATAATTCTTCCCGAAAACTTCTTTTTTTCTTGATATTATACCATCGGATAAAGGAGATTATAAATGAAACCATTGCTTATGTTAACGTAGCTATGTTCCAAGCTGTGAAGCTCACTTATGTTATTATGAGCGATGTCTGCAGCGGCGAAATCACCTGCTCTGGTATCAATGATAGTTACCAAAAGCTTTGGATGAAAAGGAAATAGAGACTTCTAGCTACAATGAAGCTTCAATGCTCAGGTCTCTTGCCTTAGGAGCTTCAATCAATGCCGTTGACTTCTGAGCTTCATCCTCTGTACCACGTAGTTGCCCCTCATGTCAGCATCTCGACTGTATGGAGCTCTGACTAAGTGCTCTTTGAATCATGGCAACGCAGTGTCATGAGATAGATAACCCTTGGCATTAAATCGTGGCCAGCTTCATGTTTGAGCAATATCAAGGACATAGGCCAGTTGCCGGAAATATTACCGGAGGCTCCGAAGCGAACTTCCGTCCAAAACGCCGCGCCGGAGCATAAAGTGGGGGAGAACCCCAAGGAACCACCGGGAGCTACCGGGGGGGTGGCCATCACCTTCTCACCTTTGTTCTCCAACCTCTAACAAACACCTTCAATCAACCATCTCGGCTCAACTCGATAATCCAGACACATCACAATAATCAGAGACATCGCAGAGATGGATCACGTCGAGCAACACATGGCTCAACAAGCCAGCCAAGAAACGTATGCCATCCCCTCTCTACTCTCTGATCTCCATCACTAACTCTTCCCAGCGCTTCCCTCTTCACACCCCTCAACCTCATCCTCCTCAGCGCCGTCCTATACACAACCTACTCCATGCTCCGCTCCTCGCCACCTCCATCTCTCCCCCGCGATGCGCCCTCAACAGTCTTCAAAACATACACTCCCCACACTCTTCTCCCCTTCAACGGCGAGGAGGATCGACCTGTCTTTCTCGCTGTGCGCGGTCGCGTTTTTGACGTCTCGCCTGGTCGTAACTTCTACGGCCCTGGTGGTCCTTATAGCAACTTTGCCGGTCGGGATGCGAGTCGAGGTCTTGCGTGTGGAAGCTTTGATGAGGACATGTTGACTAAGGACCTGGATGGTCCGCTTGATAAGCTGGAGGGACTCGATGCGGAGCAGATGGAGGCGCTCCAGGGCTGGGAGGAGAGATTCTTGGAGAAGTACAACGTTGTTGGAAAGCTGGTTTCTGTGCAGGACTACGAGGCCCAGAAGGCTTAAGAGGTCAACCACCAGAAATCATTGAGCGATACGATCACGAAGCATATCTTGGAGCAAAAGTAACATGATGGAACATATCAGGGTACATGAGCGACTCGCATTCCTTCATTACTGTAACTATAACAAAGAAAAAAACATCCCATCTACCCAGTCAGGGCGATCAGACACATACCATCACTCTATCCCGACGCGTTGCCTCAACAAGTCCTACCCTACCCAAGAAAAAAAAAAGCGTAGAAAAGCAGGGTTCCACGTAAACCAAACTCCGTGCAATGCCTCCTGTACATTTTTGCGTGAAAGCTACGCAGTGTGTCCTGGATCAGAAACCAAAAACACTATGTATATCCTGTAAAAGAAAAAACAACAATGGCGAGCTTGCCTAGACTGAGGTCGGTATAGAAAAGGGAAACAAAGAGAGGGCTTTTTTTGCTGCTCAAATCATACACGTGCTTTATTGCATCTCTAAGATTGTTGCTGCTTTGCGAAGAAGCGCTGCCGTCTTGGCAACGATGGGTTTGGCGGCTTTCCAGTCTCCCTCCTCGATGCTGTCGCGAATAGCGGGGAAGATGGCTCCGTCGTTGGACCAAGCCTCTGGTCCGAAGACAACGTTCTTGAACTGTGTTCGGTTGGGAATCTAGAGATAGGGTCAGCTTAAGTCTTTCAGTCAGTCTCAAAAGGGGGTCGTACACCACCACCGATTTCAATGTCCAGTAACGCCGTCTCAAAGTATGCCATCTTGTTGTTGTATGCAAGTCGAGAGGCACCAATATCGTTGGCTTCCCAGCCTCCATTGCCCAAGACCTCGCGGTCCCATTCCATTTCCCACTTCTCGAATGTGGCGACGTTGTGTTGAACAAGTGTTGCAGCGTCCTTGAGCTCCTTGAATGCGTCCTTCTCGCCCTTGGGCTGGCCGTCCATTTGCTTGAGTGCCCACTTCTCGAGATCTTTGACCCATTGACCCAGTCTCTGTGCATACCAGCCCATATCAAACGGCATGATGGGCCGATCGGCCATGTCGAGAATGAGAAGAGCTATCACTTGTCCCATTGCCCCGTGATACTCGAAGTCAGGATCGATGAAGTTGTCCACCAATCCAATCTTGTCGTAGCTCGAGTGGTGAGGGACTTGAGTACCCCTGAAGGCCAGATCGAGTGAACTTGTTCCTGCGATATCCTGGAATGGAATGTGGTCGCCACGTCCCTCTGGCTGCTTCAGCTCGGCATGGCTCTGATCCCAAAGGTCCTTCAATGTACTATTAGTAGAGGGATCGATAACTCGGCCCAGGGCATGAAGAAGAGACTTTCGGAACACCGGCGATCCTGAAGCATGCAGGTCTTTTCCGACAACTGCCGCCCCAAGATTGAGGTAAGCAAAGGCATTATCACGCAGGGCCTCTGAGTTATGCTCGACATACTCAGTTGAGCCAATCAGGTTGTACGCAGAAGCATCCCAAGACATAAATTCGATGGTCCTCAACGGCCTCCAGCCTCGCTGTACAAGATCTCCGAAGATTCGAGCCATCTCAATCATGACAGCTGTGCCTGAGTGGGGGTCCGTTGCGCCGAAAGCCCAAGAATCTCGCTGATTACCGATGATGATAGACTTAGACGTCTGCTCCATGCCATTAATTCGACCATAAACATTCCAGATGGTGTGCAATGAATCCTCGTCTTGCTCGTTCTTCAAGCGCACAATTGGGGACTTCTCACTGCCGGTCCACCACTCGACGTCTGGGACACCGCCTTCCCACTTGTTAGGCACCTTTTCGCCATAACCCTTTAGATGCTGTAGTAGCACCTTGGCATCTCTCCAAGCGAGAGGGAGACTGGGGATACCGACGAGTCCATTGGCCTTGTCGAGTGTGATTCGCTGATCGCCCTTGCTACCATAACCAGGCGACAAGGGGTCACCAATTCCCCAGTTCGTGAGACCTACAGAGCCTCTTTGAACACCATCTGAGGGCATATACACTCCTTCGGGAGCAACAACACCCTTCTTGAAACCGTCGTCCGCAGGGTCGGAGTAAATGAGGCAGCCAGCAAAGCCTGCCAGCTCGGCTGCCTTGACCTTGAGAGCTTGATTCTCCGGAGGACCACCGTTTTTCACCAACGCAATAGCTCCCGTGGCATTAACACCTTTGCTTGCAAGATGCTTGAAGTCGTCTCTTGTACCATAGTTGGCGTAGATTAGGGGTCCCTTGACGTCTCCCGACTTTGAGTATCCGTGAAAGGCGTACGTTTGTCGACCTGCCGTCTCGCCTCCGACTTCCTCTTCTTCTAGCTTAGCCGTCCATTTGGCCTTCTTGAGATCCTTATCGTCCATGATCTGCACCACACGACCGTCCTTGCGGGGATAGTTGAGGTAAACCTGATACTCATCCATCATAACTTCGTCCAGTAGTGCCCTGCTGAACATGGCCTGAACATCCAACGCGGTCGCATAATCACCCTCGGTACCGGCAATATGGGCGTAATTCGAAAAGTGCTGCACTGATGCGCGCATTCTCATGGGATCAACGGTCCGCAACAGATGGGCTCTAAGGTCCTCGGGGTTGAAACGGAAGCCACCTCCTAATCTATCTGACAAACCACCAAACATATCGCTGGCGAAGAGCAGATAGAAAAATCCCAGTATAATTGTGAGCGCCAAAATGCGCACACAAAATAAGATGACGGTTGTTTTGTCCACCTTCGGAATGTTCCACCTCCTCGTTGTCTGGCTTGGCGTCTCCTCATTCTCACCCGTGGCATTCTCGGCGTTGTCGGCAGCTGGCGCATCAGCTCGTTGAGGTAATTGTATGCGAAATCGTGGTAATCTCGGCCTCCAGGACCATTTCCACCGCGGTAGAGTTAGATATGACCCTATTCGCTTCCCCCACTGAGAGCCTCGGGATCGGTCGGGTTCTTCGATCTCCATCTCCTGCATCTCACGTCGTACCTGCGCGGCTTCATCCTCACTCTCGCTATCGCTGGCCCATAAACTGTCCTCATCGTCGGTCTCTACTGTTGGTGGTCGATAACCGTCGGGTCTGCGGGAGGAACTGGCGCCACTCGAATGTTGTAGGAGACCCTGTGATTCCGCCTCTGTTGCATTACGCTCGTTTGTTGGAGACCTCGGAGCAGGAGCCCAGTCATCTGGATCGTAATGGCTACCACTGGCCACGGCCTGATCGTAAGTGGGCGGTATAGGATCATAGAAAGGAGTCTTTTCGGAAGGCATCTTGATGGTGATTGAGCGCTAACCGCGCCCTCGGTTGTCGTATATTCAATCCGATGAGAAGCTCGTTCAGGCGTGTCACAAAGCAGTCGAGATAAACAGTGCCATTCGCTGAAGGGGATCGGATAAAAAGGAGCGGGCGAATCGCGGTTTCGATCGATCGATACGAAGCAATTAAGTTAAGATGAGCGAGGTGCAAGCACGAAAGGAGCGTCAAGAAAGAGAGACAAGAGACAGACGCCAGAAGCGCATCGCCAAACTAACAAGTCCAGGCTTAAGCTCTGACTCGAGATGTTGTTGACTGGGTAAAGAAAAGGAAGGGGAGAAGAGGCTGAGATGATTAAAGTCAAAGTAATGTACCGAGTTACGTTGTTGGCTGCAGGCAGGTACAGTACAAATCCAATGCGCTGCGACGGGGGGGATGATGGCGAACCTAATGGAGTGTCCACGTAAGGTAGGGGACCGGAGTCCACTATAACTATAAGCCGCCGGTTAGTACGGAGTAAGAAGACAGACAGCAGAAGACACACAGACAAAGGTGGTCGAGGTCTCAAGTGGCTGAGTTGACCCGGGGGACTTGGCAAGCCTTGGCCTTTGGAAACTTTGACAAAATACCAGTAAAAGTACTTTCGCAGACACCGTACTATACTATAACTCACTCCTCTTCTTTTTACCAGATTACACGTGAAATGTCATTCATACTAACACTATCTATCTATCTCAGAGGCATCCAAGGAGCTTACCAGGCCAGGCCAGGCCTTGTCTTGTCTCGGCTCTCACAATCACTCTCACTCTCCTGAATCCGCCCATGCACGCCACCAGGATTACCCCACAAAAGCTGGGATAGGGAGACAGCCTAACTTGGACAGGGAGGTGATGTGCGTATCATCGCTTTGCTTCTGGACTCGACGTAAAGTGAGGGACGTGTCAGCTAATTTGTTCAACCGTAATTCGAGATTAAGCAGGCTATGTAACCCTCAGACAGGATTGCGTGGGTGAGGCTTCAGTTATTTTTGGGCTTACTATCCGTATATATGCATTCTTTGTTATATATCTCTCAATCAGGGGTTGGTGACAGCGACTCTCCAAAACTCTCACTGTCGCAGGAGACTCAGCTTGGCTTCACCGCGCATATCATCAATTTTTGGGCAAAGTTTACATATATACAACTAGTGGAACTGCGACCTCCTCGATTCATGCCTGCGGGCTAAACATTATCTATCGCTATGCCGCTCAATCACCTTCTCTTTCCTTCAATCACTAGTGAATTAGACCTCAGTTCGGTGTCAAAACGACTCCCTCATATTGTCGACTTCGGATGTTCTCCAATGTCTGATGGAAGTGCCGGCGGCTGTTCTCAACTGAAGCAGAATCTTGTTGGTTGCCGGCCAGATTGGAGTGGATGAGTTCAATGAGACCATTGAGATACTTGGTTGTGACCTGCTCGAGTTAGCAATTGCTTCAACAGTTCCAGGATCGAGACTCACTGATTCGTTTTGTTGGTCAAAGTAATACACATAGCGGTCCAGAATCTCAACAAAGAGCTCAATCGATGTGGCTGTCTCCATGCAGGAATCGGCAACACGAAGGGCACGCTGAAGACATTCAAGTACTCGCTTACCATCACGGTAAAGCTATGCAAGTTAGCTGAGGTCCTTCACACATGGATTGATACATACCTCTGTTTCTTCTGACTCGCCATTGGACACCATGGGAGTCGCCCACCACAAGTGACTCGCCAGATACACAGCGCGACATTGATCTGGCTTGCGTAGCAGCTTGCTACCGTGCTGTGCGCACTTGGTGATGAGAGTGTCGTAATTCTCCTTTCCAAAGTTGCGTGTCTGGTGAAGAGCAGTAGCAATCACACAGACAGCCTGGAACTGAGCCTTCGAGTCCGACACAGCCTCCTCATACACTGTGAAGGCTTGTGCAAAGAATTCATATGCAACCTCTTCAAACCCGGTCAGATCGGCTGTTTGACCAGCAGAGGCAAAGAGACGCAGCGCCATCTCTGCAGCCCCAGAGCCATTAACACGGGTGTACAACGTGCTGAGCGCTGAGTGCATAAACTTGAACAGAGCATTACTCTGTGTCTCCCAGTTGTCGTCAAAGTGCTCACGCTGCTTGAACTTTCGCGCCAACTTCATGCATGCTGTGATAAGAGGTGGCGTCGTCGTGCGGATACGCTCGTTTCCTTCCGAGTACGCCTTTCTTGTCATTTGGAGCAGCTTGAACTGAGTATCGTTGTCCTCGGCCTGCAGCAAGTGCACGATCCTGGCGAGCCATCCCTGCTCCTCCATTGTCTCGTCTGTCTCCACAGGACGTCGTTGGGCAACACCTGGGTATCCTTGAGGCGCCTGGGAACCCTCCTTGATGAGAACCTTCAGTACCTCCAACACGTTCTCGAGCTGTTCCGTAGTCGAGATCTTGGTCTGGTTTTTGAGCAAAGTGCGAGCGACGCCACCAGCAACGGCACGGCGGGTAGGGTATGATTGCGACTGGAAGAGAGGAACGTAGGTAGGAAGAGACAAAGCAGTAAAAGTGGAAACATATCGGTTAAGGGGTGCTTGAAGAAGAGCAAGCAAGCTCTGCTGAGCAGGAGGCGAGTGAAGGTCGGCATTGTTAATGTTCTCCCGAACTTTGGTACTTGCGTAAGCCAGAATCTGGTCAACGTAGTCCAGTCTGTCGGGATAAATGTTAAGCGCAAGGTTGCAAAGTGACACCAGGAGAGCAATAATGTCTTGCACAGGAAGATGCTGAGCCTCCACCAGGTTCTTGACCTGGGCGAAGAAAACCTCGTAAAGCTGTACGGTGTCTGTAATTGACCCTTGACCGTTCACAGCAGTGGTTTCTGTATCCGCAACTGAAGGTGAAGACTCGGCGAGTGTGCTTGAGTCGTCGTTGCTGCTCTCACCAGCAGTTTCCTCTAAAGTCTCATCGGTGGCCTTGGCTGTAGACTCCTCGCCCTCGGGTGTCTTGTCGGCATCTTCGGATTCGGCATCTTCGGATTCGGCATCTTCAGTAGGCTCGCCCGCTTTGCCATCAGGTTCGGATTGCTTAGACTCTGAAGGTGTGGCTGTCGATGCCTCTTTTTGAAGGTTTACCTTCTCCAACAGTTTTGCCAGTGCATCCGCCTCAATTTGAGCTCTATCGTCCGACTTGTCCTCCGGTCCATCGCGTTCAGCATATTCGGACAATCGATCCATCAGACCAATTACAATGGCCTTGACGTTAACATGGGGGTTGAGGCGTGAAACTGCACCAAGGAATTGGTCCAAGGTGTGCAGGTGGAATTCATCCGGGAAAACTTGCGTAATCACCTCAAGGAGATACTCTTGGGCGAGAACGTCCCGGCATTGAACCACCTGCTCTAGCAGCGGTGCTAGAATACTAGACTTATACGTTTCAAGATCAACAAGCTGGCTTAGGCGTACGATATTGCTGCCGACCAATAGCTGCAGTTCCTTTCGCTCTCGAATTCGCTGCTCGCGCTCTCTCGAGTGGCCTTGGTGTTGTAGACGAACCCATAGTTTGTTCATCTCGACGAAATTTGTAAGAACGAAGTTGATGGAGTCGCTAATGTTGCCTTCAGGACCGTCGCTCTCAGTAGTTGGCAGGTAGTCCCTCGCTTGACCAGACAGGTAATATCGGAGGAAGAGTCCACGAATAGGATGCTGAACACCTCGGCTCATGTCCATCATGTCCTTCATGAGCTCCTTAACGGGCGCATCTTCAATGGCCATGTAGGCGGTTCCCACTGTAATCATAAGATACAATCGTGGGACGATGTTGCCTGCATACTGGACGAGCTCGTAAAGGTCGGCCAGGTGGTTGACAGGGTGGTTTTCGCGAAGATGAACAGACAAGTATCGCAGGGCGTCGAACACCGACATGTACAGCTCGTAGTATTGCTTGGGTCCAAGACTGCTTGTGCGAAGCTCAGAAACCAGAGTCGAGCTTCCAGAGTCAGCGATGCCATTCAGGGGACCGAGCTATCTATCGCGGCAATCATATACATACCAGCATTTGAGCGCATCCATTAGCTTTCCAGGAGTGTCGAGACATTTGCGCATAAGGGACGTCTGCTGTCGCACGGCAACGAGAGCATCTTCAAGCAGACGAGCCTGGTCCTCGGGGGGAGCTGGCGTGGCCATATTGTCGGACTATGACGGCGGGGTAGCTCGGAGCAGGTCAAGACAAGCCAAACTCCTAGCAAATTCACTAGAATGCGACTGTGATAGACGCAATGGTGAAGGAGATGATAGCGGGAGTCGGAGGTTGCGCGGAGCTGTCGGGTTGTCGTCGATAGGTTGCGCCGCATACAAGGCGCAGAACGAACGGGAGCGATGACGATACGGGGGAGGCTGAGATAATGGATTGGATGGGTTGAGGTGGGCCTAAGCTCCGCTGGAAGACAGCGGATAATGGCGCTGTGCCAGTTTGTCTTTAGGCGGCAGGGGCTCTAGATGCGTCCCAGCCACCGGAACGGACTCAATTCTGGAAAAAGGAAGATACACGGCGCAGGGACTCATCACGTGGTGTCAGGGAGTCAGTCGTTCCTGCGTCTAATAAGGTGGATGAGATGACTGAAGATGTTATGTCAAATTTATCAATTCACTGATTATAATCGAATTGCTTCATCTTACTGTCGTTCAATCTTCCTCATATTCAATTATGTTTCATCAACGAAATGTCCAAAGTAACCAATGCCAATCATGCTTAGTTATGGTTAAATAAACTTCAATAACTCCTTGCAGTGCAACATGGATGTCAACTGTGCCAGCTCCTCAACGCCTTACTTCAAATCCTTCAATGCATCTTTCAGTTTTCCAAATTCGTTAGACATCCATTTCTCTCACATCTCCTGGACCGGCCGAATACTCCAACGCCACAATACTGTGGTTGTCCAACTCGCGCAGGAATCCCCAGATCATCGCGAAGAAAGTCCACCAACGAGGTATCAATCGAGGATGAAAATGCGGCAAGGACCAGCATCATATTCGACTCGGGATGAGGCAGGTTGTGAATATCAGCAACAATGACGACCTCCTTGATCGTTTTTATCGACGCCAGTTCCCGCGCCCATTCCAAGCTTTCATGACGAGTTGTATATAATAGCCGAAAGTCAGAAACCGTCAAGCTCTGCGGGCCGTCCCATGGCCCTCGTGGCCGAGCGCCTTCAATGACAAGTGTCAACTTATCCAAGCTTTGCAAACTTCGCAGCGAACGACACACAGAAGACCAGTCATATGAATCTGGTTCCATGACATTTGTTGGACTGCGCTTGTAGAGGCTGATCTCCCGGACTAAGTCTCTAGTGCGTGGCGTCTTATCAGTGAGGAAGGGCACCAAGGCCTCGAGGTCTTCTCCAAAGTGGAAAGCATGCTTTGTGTACAGGTAATGAGAGGCTTCCTCTCGGATTTTCCTGTTGATATGCATAACTGCAGTGTGCATCGATCGGCGGGGATGAGGGTCGGCGCAATATGTCGTTTCGTAAGACTTCTTTGCGATAGTTCGCTCCATTATATGATATGCTGAACGTTGGGTCTTTGAACGGCGCGCCTCATATTCATATTTAGACTGATTCCGAATTGAAATATCTTTGGTCCCGCCGTTGTCGAGAAGATAGTCGTATATCAGCATGCGAATCTCTGGAGGGATGCGCAAGAGCATAGATTCTTCGGCCATGATGGTTGAGTTGCGTAGCAATGCCTGAAAGAAGGAGGGAGGTGTCGGAGTGGTTTTACAACGCCTTTCAACTGAGGAATTCGTTTTGGACGCCGATGACTTGGTGATGTCAGTCTTGGTGATTGTACTAGTCGATGGTGTCGACGAGTCACTAACACGGTGACGGACAATGACGGATAACGCGAGGGATCTCACGTCAGAAGCCGCTTCTTGCAATGCCGACAAAGATAACAAAGACAATACGATGCTATCGTCCAGCGGCAGTGCGACAGCTGCCTTATTTATGTCTACAAACTGATCAGCAATTCGGAGGGGTCCGTCCATCAAGGTGCCCACTCCCCGGACCTTGACGACCCAACCCCAAGGTCGGCTTTGTCAAACCAATAAGTATAAATTCAAGCCATTGAGCCAAATCTCAACACAGATTTGAAGCGACTAAGGTCCGGTCGCTTTGCCATCGGTGTGGCAGCCTTCCCCGTCCTTGCTCTCCGGCCACCTTGTTTTCGTGGGATAGTTCTTGATAAGGCAACCTACTGTGTAGGACAAGGTGCCCCCCAACTATACTCATTGGTCCAACCGCTAGCTGAAGTTCAACTCCTTCAGCTTCTTGTAGTGGATGCTGCCAAAGTTTAAGTTGTTGGCGATTCTTGCATAAAATTACAAAGATTCAGCCATCCACTAATATAGAGAGTGGAGTGCAAGACTCTTCAAACAAGAGAACGGTCCGTTGTCTTGCGGACTGTGACCCTAGAGATGGCATCAAGACCCCCACCACTAACCCGCATCGCGGACCCAGAACTGCGAATGACGAGATTGAACTAAAGAAGCACTTTTCCCAACTTTTTACAAGCTGAATCGCGTACAAATAAAAGTCCAACAAAGGGACAGGTTCCAAGAAATATCAATACTTTTACCGCCTTGTTGACGCACGCGTTCCAACGCTGTACCTGAGAGACGTTTCTTTGTCTTTGAGTTCAGCTAGTCACAAGGTTGTCCATAAAGAACGGCAATGATCTCATAGTCACCGGACTATCAACCTCTGTGATCGTGGACTCTTCAATAAGCACGGCGATGTCATAGTTTGTGAACATAATTCGCTCGAGAATCTCGTCCGGGGAGCTACTTCACCGAGCTAGACGTGCTTGTGCAGTCCACAATTCTCCGGAATACGTGGTTCGAAACATAGAATCATGCACTGGGCTACAAGCCTCTCATGCCGTTCTCTAGAGGCAATTACCATAGACCGTCTTCCGTCGATGTTGCAACGCGAAACGATAACTTATCATGGAGCAAATATCGAGTCATGCAAGTTGAGCCAAGGATGCCGGCAAATGTGCTTCTTGTTGCGATAACGGGCTATGTACTTGGCGATGTCGAAGACGGAAAATCCAACTTTCCAAGCACTTGTTTTCTCCATGATTTCAAAACAAATTTGGATACAATGGCCCCAGGCATATAAGCGAAGCAGGCTTTTGACCACCAGCGATGGCGATGAGGCACCAATAATGATCCATGTTTCTGGTGTCAAAGTAGCACGGCTCTCACAAACCGAAAAAGTCCGCGATAGTCGGATGGCCACTCTTGTTGGGGTGGACCATCCCATGCGACTATTATAGCGCCATCTACCTCGAAGGTGATGATGAGGGTGCACAACCCGTCAACACCTTCAGAGAACCTTGGAGGTTGATCCGACCGACTTATCGGACCTTGGGGTCCCCGGATTATCTCAGGGCTCATTATCAATTAGAGTTTAAAGTGATACGATGCTTGCGGGTTCCTGGGGTGCTTCTTCAGAATCTCAGTCGAAATAATGAAGATGTCAAGGTATAAATCGTCTTTTCTTCTAGAAGCTCACATAGAAATTTCAGGGATTGCGATCCTTGCTAGCGTTACATATCTTACGTCTTGTGGTCCACTGAAACACCACATATGCAATGCTGGCATCTGAATAAGCAAACTTGTTGTTTTACACACGACCTTTCTCTTGAAGCCATACAGTGCCCTTCTCCTAGGCCTCATCTGAGCTTTCCGTATTCCAGGGGTTAATCATCTTAAATATGGCGAATCAGTTCTCTTTCCACGACGCTTCTGCATCATTTAATGATGCTCAGTTCATGGCTGATGCAATGGACTCGACTATACCCCACCTTGTTGCGGCGGGAAACGCTGGTCAATGGGGAACTGAGCCCCTTTCTAGAAAGGAGTCGTTCATGCAGAAGATGCATGATGCTGTCTCAAAGTCGGAGCAGTTCTGTGAAACGGGGGCTGGTGATCGAGAGAGAATATTTATCGCCGAGGTTGAAGACGATCAGACCAGCTCAGGATCCACTGCAAACGGAAACCTCTCCCGCCGTGTGGACGAGAATGGAAAATCCTTTGTGTCTGTTGGTTTCGTCAAAATTGTCGAAGAACAATTCGTGAGCTATTTGAAAGAGACAGAGAGTTTGAAAGCCCAGATCGAACCTGCGTTGAAAAAGGGCAAGTTTGTCTTCCTCCAATACCTCGTCACTGATCACCGAGTTGGTGATAGACGTCGTGGGGCTGGGGCTGCTCTCCTTCAGAAAGTCAAGGATTATACTCTTGAGCGTGGTTGGAAGACGATCTGGCTTGATTGCTGGGATGGAGGTAATGGGCAGTTGGTGCAGTATGTTCCCAGAAGGACACCCTCGACTCGGTTCATTTTTAATGGTTACAGATACTACGTTGATCAAGGATTTCATATTATGGGGAGCTTTGGGAATAATCATGATGATGGGTCTTCATGGAACGGTAAACTTTTCCGTATGGACATGGCCTAGAAACTGCTACCGAAGCAAGCATCATACAGCCACCACTGCTATCTCTGTGGGCATTCACTTCTCCAGAGGAGCTGTATCAACAAAGCAGCCAAAGAAGGGATCCCGTCCTCCTACAACTCCAGCCTCCACTGCCAATTTCCTCAACTCTTGATTCTCCTCCTTACTCAGCGTCACCTTTGCTGCTCCCACGTTCTCTTCGAGATACTTGATGTTCTTCGTGCCAGGAATGACAAACATTTTGGGGCTCTGCTCCAAGATCCAGGCCAGGACGAGCTGTGAGGATGTGAATCCCTTGTTCTTGGCCAACTCATTGAACTGGTCCACAATCTTCAAGTTCTTCTTGAAGTTGTCACCCTGGAACCGCGTCAAGTTTCTTCGGGTATCTGTCTCTTCGAAATCATCGACAGAGCGGAACCGACCGGTCAAGATACCACGACCAAGGGGTGAGTAGGCAAACACCGCCACGTCTAGCTCTTCGCAAGCCTTGAGAAGGTTTGTTCCTGAAGGACCTTCGATATCGAGTGTCCAGGGGTTGTACTCGACTTGTACTGCTGAGATGGTATGGATGGCGTGGGCTCGGCGGAGAGTGGTAGACGAGATCTCTGAGAGGCCCAAGTACTTGACCTTTCCCTCACTATGTGGGCGTGAGTCCTGCTTAGCTTATTTCATGGTGGAATGACTTACTCAACCAATTGCTTCATAGCTTCCACAGTCTTCTCAATAGGCACATCCTCGTTTGCACGATGCATGTAGTACAGATCAATGTGCTCAACACCAAGCCTCTTCAAGCTGCTCTCAATACTCTTCCTCACATGCTCAGGCGATGAATCAGTAACTATCCCTTTCTCACCTACCCTCAGCCCAAACTTGGTCGCAAGGAAGATATCCTGGCGACGTTCGGGGTGAAGCTTGAACCATTTGCCTACGACATCTTCACTGTCGCCGTAGACATCAGCTGTGTCCCAATTCGTACAGCCAAGTTCCCATGCACGGTCGAGGAGTTTGAGACGTTCTTCGTCAGATCTAGGGATATTAGTGAGGTTCAGGAGTTGGAGATGTGATTCATACGTGGCTGCTCCGTATCCGACGCTGATTCCCATAAGACCAAGACCAATGGATGGGATCTTGGGGCCATTCTTGGTGAGCTGTCGAAGAGGGAGTTGAGCTGGAGGAGCCATGATGTAGTTCTCAGAAATGGAGTTTGGGCAGTTGGAGGAAATATTGGTTGGATGCAAGTGGCTTGGCTTTTACAAAGAACATGTTCTCAAACACAGAGAAACTCTCTTCCTTTTATACATGTCCAACGCCTCCTCATCATTATATTAACCGCCCTATCCCAGTCCAGGTTACGACATTATTTCCTGTGTCCTTCTTGATATTCGTTACATCAGTGTATGAAACGGGGTTAGCTTTGCGCGGACATATCCAGGCAGCTTCTCATCCCCACACTTGCGGCCGAAAGACTGCTTGTCTCCGAAACTTTAAACCATCTTGCATGAATGACTAAGACAGCCTCGGTCACGGGCAATATCTTATTCACCGTGAGGTTCGTATCAGTATAGGCCAATCGATAGAAACCAGGTCAAAGAGAACAAAGAATCTTGAATTCAGATCAAGGTATCAAAAACCACAAAAACGCTGTATTACACTAGTCCCTCTATTTTGTCTTGCGCCTCGCCTTGAATGTCTTGAGCGGATCTCGCTTCCTTGAGCCAACCTTAAATCCGCGACCCTTCTTACCCTTATGGCCCTTGCGGTCTTTCCTGAGTGCCACAAAGCCAATGTCGTTTGTCAAGGCTTGTTTGCCATCTTTGGGTAGGAGATACTCTGGGATATGCTTCAGGTGAGCTTGTTGTCTAGCAGTTCGAAGTTCACCGTCGTGGCGAAGATGGGTGAGTTCCGTAGGGTTCTCTTCGAAATATCTGAACGATTGTTAGTACAGTCTGAATATGATGCGTTATTGTGTATATGCTTACCGCTTCAGTTTCTCACTCTTCAACAGCTCCTGTCGCAACTCTCTTGTTCGGGCCTCTCGGATAGAAACCTTGGTAACTGCACGTAGAGCATCGTTCATTCGGTACCGGAAAGGATCCACTTGCTTCATGTTGAAGTTGTAAGGCTTCACCTCTTTTCCTCGCTTGGCTTGCTGCCTGATGATCTTGGCCATCACCTTCTCATCATTCTCTGAAGCTGGTGTGGACGTAGGCATGTGCTTTCGGTATAGATCTTTAGGGACGACGAATGACAGAGCCATGCCAGTCTGTCCAGCTCGCGCTGTACGTCCTATTCTATGTGTGTAGGCTGATGCTGTTGTGGGGAGATCGAAGTTGATGACTGCGGAAACCTTCTTGAAATCGACACCTATAAGTGTTGTTAGTGCAAGTCCTGGGCTTGGGTAACTCTCTGCCATATAAATGACAGCGCCGGGCAAACATACCTCTTGATACACCATACTCTTTATCACCGCCCTTGGACTTCTTGGCCTTCTTCTTCGGTCGCTTTGCTTCCGTCTCCGCATCATCTCCGTCGCCCTGCTTCTCGGCATCCTCAGTCTCGCCTTCAACAGGTTCCTCATCATCTCCCATCATCTCATTCTTCTCATCGGCGGCAATGATGATATCGTAAACGTGTTTGTTGAACTCCTCAACGACATGAACTCGCGAGTTCAAGGGAAGTTCAGAGTTCAGAATACAACTTCGAATGCCGAACTGCTCAAAGAAGAGCTTGAGACGGTAACATCGGTCAATGTCGCTCACAAAGATGATGCACTTGCCCTTGATCAATTTGAGCTTGAAGATCACATAGGCAAGAAGGAACTTCTCGTCTTCACCACACCTAGTAATATGTCAGCAACTGGTCGCTTGTATCTGAATATCAGGAGAACGTACTTGGCCACAAATTGGGTGATACCCTCGCCTTCAGCCTCCTTCTCCTTGAGATCCAACAACGTCGGGTCACGTCGGAAGATCCCCTTGAGTGCGTCGACCTCATCTGTAAGAGTAGCGCTCATCATCATGACCTGAACACCCTTGGGAACCGATCGTGACAAGTTCTCCAGATCCTCACTGTAACCGTAGGAAAGAACAAGATCGGCTTCGTCCAGGATAAGATGTGTGAGTTTGTCGATTGAGAGTGCTGAAGAGTTGGCATTGTGCCAGGCAGTCGCAGGGGTCGAGATAACGATGTCGGGCGAGTTTGAGAGAAGGGCGCGCTGCACGGCATTGGAAACCTTGTCGGTCAACTTGACTGTGCTGATATCCTTTGCGCAGAAGGAAGCAAATTGTTCGATGGCCTTGAAGACCTGGTCGGCAAGCTCGCGGGTCGGGACGAGGATGAGGGCGGTTGTGAAAGCAGTAGAGTCGGTCTAAACACATGGCTATTAGCAAAGTCTTCAAGAATAGGATATCTCGAGAATCGGGTGGCATACAGCTTTGCGCTTCAGAATGCTAGATAGCAAAGGCAGAACATAAGCTGCCGTCTTTCCAGAGCCACAGTCGGCCTTGGCCAAAACATCTTGTCCATTGAGAGCCAAAGGAATCGCCTTCCTCTGCACTAGCGTCGGCTTTGCAAACTTCTGCTGAGCGATAGCTTGTAGCAGTCTAGGATCAAGACCGAGATCGACGAAGGAAGTCTCATCCTCTTGTTTTTGCGCAGGCTTCGTAGGCTTTTCAACTTCGGTAGTAGCAGGCTTTTCTTCAGCGACGACCTCTTCTGTTTGATCGCGCTTTCGTTTCGATAAGGACCCCATTGTGTAAGTTGGTTGTTGTGTGGTGTTGGTGTTGGTGTGTGCCGAAGAAAGATGGTGATTTCTCAACTGCCCAGAGATAATCTTTCGCTGCTGGGTAACTTTTCCTCCAAATTTCCAGCAGGCTGAGGGGCAGCTACCCGGCGGATGATTACTTGATTGGCTGATTGACTATCGAGCTAGCACCTTTGGGCTTAGCCTGGGAAATTGAAGAAAATCGTTCAGAGTTCGAACTTTTTTTTTCTTCTTATCGTGCTTATCAATACATGCACCTCCAAACTTTGTCTAACCTTGTTTGGCTGGGAATAGCTTCACGTTGTTGTTCCTTTCATACACAGTGTAGGCGTATGCCTCTATTTCCAATCACCTGTACCCAACTGCTTCCTGGTTCTATCTTGAAGTACTTGCATAGGAAATATTGAAGCAGACAGAGACAAGTGTCAATACAAGCCAACTTTATTACATGTCGAAGTCGACTTCACTTCAATCACTTAACGGAGAGAGACAAGAGACAGGTTTGATCATCAACAACAAGTATATTTATCATTCGCTCAGTTCATTATATCCCATGTCCCAAAATTCCAGGCTAACAGATTCCCAAAGAAAACATCATGTATATCCCAATTCTATCGGTTCTTTTTTTGCTTTTGCTTTCATTCCCTTTTTACCACTTGATGACAGGGTTGGGGAAGTACTCGCTGATGAGCTCCATGTAGTAAGGCTTGAGCTTCTCAGCATCGGGCACACCGTCGCTCTTGGAGTACAAGTCATAGGGGTTGAAGGCGTTGACAGCCTTGAGCATCTCATGGTCCTTGTCGCACATGAGGTGGCGGTAAGCTCCCTCGCGGTGCCAGGGGTAGAAGGAGTGGTAGCGGATCATGGCGAGAGCCTCGTCAGGGAGAGTGGACTGGTCCTTGACGACGTGGTAGAGGTACTCGTCGTGACCCCATGAGAGCATGACGTTGTCGAGACCACAGTTGGGAGAGTAGATACCGTACTTGGTGTTGAAGTCGGGGTTGATAGCATCGGGGTTACCCTCAGCGAAGGTCTCGGGGTAGATGATCTTGTCGGAGAAAGCACAGCCAACAGGGAATGTGTCACCGACAACGTCCCACTGACCCTGAGTCTCGAGCTCGGGGAAGAAGAGCATAAGCTTTCCAAGGTCGTGGATAAGACCAGTCAACTGCATCCATCGAGGCTTGCCATCACGGCGAATAGCCTCAGCAGACTGAAGAAGATGCTGGATCTGAGAGAGGGAAGTATCAGGGTCAGACTCATCAACAAGAGTGTTGAGTTTCTCCATGGCCTCCCAGATGGTCATCTCGGCACGAGGACGAGAGGCGTTGTAGAAGCGGTTGCGGGCAGCGAGGTTGTAGGCGACTGTCTGCTTGTGGTGCTGCTCGCGGTAGAAGTTCTTGACGCGGTCGGTGGCGTCGTCGTATTGGCGGAAGGTGTTCTTGTCCTTCTCCTTGTCGAACTTGGAAGTCTCGTCGTACTTGATCACGTTGACATCGTCGATCTTGTCAGAGAGAACCTCGAGGGCTTGGCCATCGTGGCTGGAGAAATCGTCAACGACAGCGCCGGGAGCCATTGTGAATGTGATGTGTGTAAGTGAAGTGATGGAGGTAGTATAAGGTAAGTTGGGAGAAGAGGCTGGTATTGTTCTTGAAGATTCAGTTGTAGTTGAGAGTGTGAGAATGATGATGAGCTTGGAGAATTGAATCTCAAAGACGTGAGAAGGATGGTCTTATGTAGTAGTTGATGTCAAAACTGTCCTTCCTTACAAGTCAACCTCATATCGAGAAGTTTTTGCTTTGCCCGCCCGCGCACACCATCAATGGATCCTTTCCCCTTCTTTTTCCCCGCATAATCAAACTTGAAGTCGGGTACATGACCAATCTGCGTCATCTGAGTGGGTGTTTTTGCTCTACAATTCTCGTCAAGTTTTCGAGACTTGGTCGAGATCTGGAGAATGGTGGAACTCTGCGGGCAGAGTTTCTAAGTCGAGAGAGACATATCGAGCTAGATCCGCCGGAGAGACGCCGCTGTGAACCCTGACTTCTCAGATTCTCGACCATTTACGGTTAGATCCGCCGGCTGTAGCTGTTTACGGCTGTCGAAGAGACACCAAGGATAGCATCAGTGCGGACGCAGTGGAGATATTGTCGACTTTTACCTCAAAATGCCACGTTAATTCACCTTGCTAATTTCTTTCTACGTCACGCGGGGGATTAACCGGGAAGATTGCCGGATCTCAAGACCCTTCGCAAACTCGGAGATTCTTGTTCAAAATGTTCTAGACGCAGCTATCGCTTAGATCTCTGGGGCCTCATCTTGCGTGGTAACATGGGGATTATTGTTGGACCCTGAATTAGACAAATACGGCAAGACAGCCTCATGTGATCAATATCAGCAGATCTAGAAGTAGAGGTAGAGCAAGACAGGGCCACAGTCTAGAAGTTTGTCTCTGACAATAGAAGCTTTGAAGGCTGCTTCAATATCAACTCTTAACATGTGGAATGCATCCACTGTCCAACACCTATTAGCATTATAGGATTATAGCTGATGGTGCTTCTCCCACAAACTTCCCCATACGTGCGTCTTGATCTAGATTCATCTTCAAGAGAGGGCAAGCTGA